TTAGGTCAACTACTGCGAGGTCTTCCACATGTACCCAATCGTTGAGTGACACCTGTCAAGATTTGGCATTTTAAATAACTAGGCTTAAGTAGTTAGTCAATTTAAATCCTCCAATATTATGTCTAAATTTGTAATAGTGTGAATTTTAAATTTCTGATAATTATAAATTATGAATACGAATGTGATGAATTAAGTTACTTTTTAGATTTTAAACACTAATTATACCCAGATCATTACTATATTTGCGATAACATAGTGTATATATTGAGGGGAATAATAATAATAAAAAAAAAAACATTATTAAATTTATTGATGTGAGCTGCAATTTGCTATAATAACATTTTTAGCATTGGAAATACGGCTAATTTTAGTGAAGCCCATTGACTACATACATGTTCCCACTAATGTCTATCTTCAAATATAAATAAATTTTAGTACTATCATACAGTTCAGTTTTTTTGACCATTTACCTAAAAAATAAAATAAAATATTTTGACCCATTTCCGTGTGTAAATGCCCAACTCATATCATAATTATTATTTAATGAAATTACCTGTTTTAATAATAATAATAATAATAATAATAATAATAATAATAATAATAATAATAATAATAATAATAATAATAATAGTAATAATAATAGTAGTAGTAATAATAATAATAATAATAATAATAATAATAATAATAATAGTAATAATAATAATAATAAAATAATAATAATGTTGCTTGGGTCCTACCAATAGCCCTAAACCTGCTACAATGGGCTCGATACTGATAGGAACCGACCTAATTATAATAGCTACACTTTGGGCTTGAACCTCAATTATTCATTTAAAAGCCCAAAATAATCCAGTCCATCATGAGAAGGAACAAGACACTTTGTAGTTATATGTGCACTTCATTTTCTCATACAGATGGATGTTTATGAGATTATCTGGAGTTGATGTGATATCAGAGATAAATGGCACGACACGGCACCAAAAAAAAATACGAAATCAAAGAGTTATATTAAATTAAAATTTCAATTTATTATCGTATTTATGATCAAATTATATAGGTAACATTAAAACACGATAATGAAATACGAATACGATACGATAGCACGATAGTCATCCCTAAAATACATACACAACATTACATGAACTAACACATCAAGTAAGATATAAATAATAATTAAGTCTATTATTAGTTAACAAATAAAATATGTGTGTCCAAGCCTTCAATTATTGATTTCCCCAAAGCCAAAGTGTGGCCATTATAATTCCCTTTAATTAATCTCTCCAAATTTGATAAACTCCACACAAATTGGGCCTCAATTTAAAATTCGTCGGTAGGCTAAATTAACGGGTATCTCCATTCAATGTCTCGGATCCACAAAATATTTCAAGATATTGAAAATAAAACATAAAATATATTGAAATAAATAAAGTCATTCCAATAATAAATAAGTCAAAATATATAAATGTAAGAATAATTAAATACACTATTAAATCTACAAAATATGTACCATTTTCAACCTATCATCACCTTGTAATTTGTGATATCCATTCCTGATTTTGGTAAATGTTATGGTCTTGTTACGGAACTATCTCGTCGGTGTTTTAATTGTTGAATCATCTATCTTGTACTAACTATATGTATATTAATTGGTTAAAATAGTTTCGCAACAGAATCCTAGCATTTTTTCGTAAATTTTTATATCGAACTCGGGACTCGGGAGACATTTTATAATGTTCTATCCATTAATTGCATGCATGTGTTTTGTTTTCGGTTGCGGTGAAAGCTTCTTTTTTTGTTTTTTATTATTTATTACCAAAGGTGGGCCTACCTGAAAAATTGGCTAAATTGGTGGGGTGAGCTGCTTTCTGTCCCTTTCTTTCAGGTTCATGTCTAGAAAATATCAAGACATTTTTTGAAATGTTGGGCCAGAAAACCAATTTTTTGGTATCCAACCCTTCGTTTTATTCTTAAAAAAATCATGTGGGCCTAGGCCCACAGTGTTCCTTAATGGATTCGCCACTTAATGGAGGATTAAATAAAGTTTTAATTAATATTTATTTAAAATATAATAAATAAAATTGATAGGATGTAAAAGTAAGAGCAAAGTAATTGAAAATTATAGATAGTTAAAAGTATGTGATTTAAATAAAATAGTGAACTAAAGTTGATGTGTGAGTATGACTAATCATTATTATTTGGCAAAATTGCATATAAAAGCACCACATTTTATGTTTTTGCAATTTAATCACCACCTTTGTAATTTAGCAATTTAATACACAACTTTACTTATTTCTTGCAATTCGAATCACAGGGCCCAATTTCGAGCCTGTTCTGGTGACGTGGCATTTTGTGGTGACGTGTCGTTTCCACGTGTCAATGACGGGGCATCTTTGAGCTGACGTGGCAGTCTATGTCAATTAAGAAAAAAAATATATATATTTTGTAGAAAGGGGGGTTTGAACCCTGGTCTCCATGGGAGAAAAGTAACTATGCTACCAACTCACCTATCCATATTAGTTAACATATTCAATAACAATTTATATATATAGGAATTACGTATGAATAAATTATATTAAAATATAAAATTAATTATAATAAATTAATTAAATATAAAATTATAATAAATTAATTTAAATTGAATGAAAATAAAATAAATGAAGATAATTAAAATATAGAATTTTATTAATTCATATTTTGTGTTAGAGTAAACCATATTAATAATATTTAATAAATAAGATTTTCATTATTTATTATTTAATAATCAGTTATTTTGTTTATTATTTTTTTTATTTTATTTGAATTCACCTTTTTTATACTTTATCATCTTATGTTATATTATTTTTATTATATTTTAATAAATATAACTTATTATGAAATAATAAATAAAAATAAATAAAAATCTTAAATAAATATAATAAATTAAAAATATAATTTAAGTAAATAAAATGTTAAATAATCGTAATGAATAATAAAACAAAAAGTGTTATTTTATATAAAATAATAAAATATTAAAAAACTTAAATGAAATAATAATTTATTATATAATAATAAGTTATTATATTTATTATAAATTTATTTTAAATAAATAAATAAAAATATTAAATGAATATAATATTATTAATATGATTCACTCTAACACAAAATATGAATTCGAAAAAATATATTTTAATTATCTTAATATATTATTTTTAATTCAATTTTATATAATTTTATTTAATATAATTAAATTATTTTTTTAGATTTAATTTGATTTCTCCATACATAATGTAATGTTTATATATATAAAGGGTTATCACATTTAACAACTAAGTTGGACTGGTGTGGTGGTAGCTAAGGCTACCCTTCAACCCCTTCAACCTAGGATTGAATCTCAGAGCGTGCAACATAATTTTTTTTTAATTGACACATGGGTCGCCATGTCAGCCCAAAAATGCCACGTCATTGACACGTGGAAACACCACGTCATCACAAAAATGCCATATCAGCAGAACAGGCCTCCACGTCACCAGAACAGGCCCAAAATTGGGCCCTGTGATTCGAATTGCAAAAAATAACTAAAGTGGTGTATTAAATTGCTAAATTGCAAAGGTGGTGATTAAATT